TAACATCGAAACTATATATATATATATATATATATATATATATATATATATATATCGTTCCCATTTCTGGACAAATCCGAACCAAACTTTAGTCTCGTCATGTGCACTTTGGCAAACTGAAGGTAAAATAGGCCACTTTATGAGGAAAACACCGGAATGCTTTGTTTGTGATTTATCGCATTTTACTACTGTATTGAAAATCGGTGTGTGTAACCTAACTTCTAAAAAATGCAAGCTTTGTCAACTGAGAAGAGCATGACAGGCCATTTTTCATATTCTATCACTAAACTCAACTTGCATGAAAAATTCCAGCTGAACTATATCCTTTTCTGAGAATGTAATTCAGAGTCAGGAAAATTTTTTGCCTGAGTCTAAAGTAGATCGAGCGTAGCCGCGCATGGCTAGTTGCAGAATAAGGAAAACTCATTTATTATTTGTTACCGACGATCATTGCAGAGCTGCAAACAACAACGACTACTACGAAGTTTTCTCAGATTTGAAAAACATGTCCGTATCAGCAATAGATTTCCAGCTTCGAGCTTTACCTGCCGACGTATTACCAAGATTTTTCAAAATGCTAACAGAGGTTTGTACCCAGATCTACTGTTATATGGAGTTCTTTCACATCTCAGTACCTTAACTTACCTCGGACAGTACTGCTATTAGTTGCATGTTACCATTCTCAGTATCATATTTACTTTCAGGTTCTGAAAACTAAAAAGAATTTCGACCTTGTACAAGCATATCTCGCCGCAGCCATAAAAATTCATAGGTGAGCACTCATTTTTACTTGCACACAAACTGGCCTATGATTGCGGGATAAGTTCGTAATACAGGGCAACGCTTTGGCTAGGAGAAGAAAATGGTGAAGACGAGCTAGCAAAAGTGCTGGAAGAACTTTCAACGGAAGAAGAATGCATATGGTCAGATTATGACCAAGTAATGGTTGAAAATGCCTCTGTCACGCTATGGGTAAAAAATGCGCTTTTATAAAAGTTGTACTGTTGTTGTTGTTTTCTACTGTATCTCTGTCTAACTGTATGATCAATCATTACACTGTACACTAGTTTGTTATCTTTTCCATGAATTTTTTGAAGTTGCTTGTTTCATATTGTTATTGTTGACTAGTGATAAAGTCTCAAATTGACACTTAACATCTGATTTCGAAAGTTAAACCATTGGAAACCTGTGAATGGCTG